ATAATTGTATAATTTTATACCACTTTATATTATAGATGCACTGTCAAAAGACATTGGTTCTCTTTGGAGTTTGAAACATTTTGCATTTATTACAAAAAACGACTCGTATAACTTTTACTCCGATGAAGTCAGACAAAGTTCCAATTTTATTCGTCAAAGGGATTCAACGAAAAAGAAAACTATTTCCAGACAGGTATGAGCAAAAAACTTCATTTACATCCATTTTTGGTTTTAAAAAAATTTATAAGAAAAATTGATGCTGAAAAACTTCCCTAAATATTGTTGATCTACCATCGTCTCTTGAATAAAAAATGATTCAGATTTTAGTTTTACTGAAATAAAGTTGTTATATGTTGTAGTTGAACCCTTTACAACTCAAATCAATAACTTCCAAAACAACATTCGTAAACTTGAGATATTTACAAAATAGAGTTATTCGAATTATGCCGTGTGTGCCATTACTTTCCACCCATATTCTGTATTATTTACAATAGTGTAATTATAATTACATAGTTTGTTTTTTGTGGTTTTTAACCAAACATGACCTGACAAACAACTTCACTTTATCAGACAAACTCTATTTTTTAAAGAAAAGTGCTTCTTGTAATAATTATAACTGAATTGCGGAACATATTTCTTCTTAATTACTTAATTATTCATTGTGGAATAGTCACTTTATTATTTCTGTCATCAATTACTTCAACGAATGAGTTGCATATTAGTTTTGTAGTTATCAAGGGTGGGATTAGCTATGGTCTATATAATTTACATAGTTCTAAAACTAACTAAACAAATTATCTTGTTTTTAACCAAATATGACAACTTATATTTTGAAGAAAAATACTTGAGTTGTAATAGCGATTAACCGCTGAATTACAAAACTAAAATCACCTTGTACTGAAAAAACTTCATTTGCGCAAATACAATTTATTATAAATTTATGTTATCAATAAATACTATAATGAATGAGGTCAAGATTATCTTAATTGTTATCAAGCTTTTGAATAGAACAATATTGTGTGAAACATAATAGTTTAATTACATAATTAATTTGCATAGTTTTTCATATTATTCATTAAATTAAGTAAAACAATTATCTTGCGCAGTTTTCGACGAATATTTCTCAAATTTTATAGCAATAATTTTTTAATCAATTTTAAATTGATCCAAAAGTTTTGCTTCATTTTATTGAATATTTTCAAAGTCATAGCAAAAAAATTTGAGACAAAAAAATTCTTTTTTTTTAATATAAAAATGTCCGTATTTCCATAAATATTTGAGCTAGGCTTACGAAATTTTGTGCAGTTATTGAATATAATAATCAAAAAAGTAGTTCAATTACTTCAAATTCATTACTATTTGTGAATTTAATAAAATTTTAAATATTACTTCCACTTTCATTAATGAACTTTTTATTGCAATTAGGAAAAGATTTTAGAGTTAGAAACTTCACCAAGCTTCAACAGAAGAAGGTAATTTTTATTATGATAAAATTAACAGAACAATGCTAATTTTTCACTGATATTCCTGCACTTCTTTATTTTAGTGATAAGACATATCTTTTCATTTGTGGAGGTGGTCTGATCAGTAGTTTTGCTGTTTTTTTGACAGTCATAGTATTGTAAGTTCCACTTTCAATTTTTTATCTCTTCGTAACCAACTTAACATTTAAGAACATAAAATAAAAATGTTAAAGGGTATAAATGTTTAAAAAAATTAACTATGTGAATTAAAACATTTGAAAATTTTGCATCTCCTTTGCAGTTCTTTAATTGGGTACTTGCACTTCAAGAAAATCACGTGACCCATGACGTCAGCTCGTTTATAAGCGAAATGGTGTGTTAAAGTTGAGCTAAGTTTCTCCATATAAATTAGAATGTTAATTAACGTGAAATTACTGAAATACAGTGCCGCATCACAGTTTTTATTTTCGTAACTAAAAATCCTGCAAGAATTTTTGCCAAAAAGTAAGATGAATGATTTATCCCAAAAATATCCAAAATCAAAATATTTTTAAAGAAGCGAGATTCAAGAATGTCGCAGCCATAAAGAAAACCCCAACGTCAGAATTTAAAAAAATTCTGAAAGAGAACTTAAAAGTTGTTTCTGAAACTTCGCTCTCCGAGTACATTATAGTAAGTAGAATGGTAAAGGTTATTTCATAGCACATTAAATAGTATGCAATTCACATAATATTTTCGAGAGTTAATTAAATAAATATAGGAAAATAATAGCTGCCTCTTGTACACGGAACAAAGCTTTTAATATATCTTACACTTTAATGTCATTTAATTTTTTTTTTGTAGATTCTGTGGCTGGAAATATCGTTTTCATCCAAAGATGGTTCTCTGTTTTGTATCGTTGCTCTGTTTAATCACTGGATTTCAAATAGTTATCATTGTATCAGTTTGTAATTAAATGAAAAAAAACATTTGAAGGACAATAAACCACTGAATCTATCCATAACTTATTTACATTCAAATTTGAGCCAGTTAAGACACTTGAAAAATTAAGTTAAGCCAGTTAAAACACTTTAAACTGTTTAAGGTTATTTTCCAAGACACATTAGAGAAAGAAATATCTTTTATGTACAAAGTGCAGCAGTGTATCGGTCGATTTTAAAAGTTATCAAGAGATGAATGATTATAGCTTTAGTTACTTTATATACACAACGATGCAAAGAAAACATAAAATCATTTAATTCTAAGAACTGCCTTTATTTTTCAAAAATAACATCTTTTCTATGCCCACTATGCCTTGCCGAATACGTACGTATGGATTGAGTCACTCAGAAAGAAGTGCAGGTCTATACGGCAGTCAAACATTACGCCGGCACAGAGCGACGTCCACAGTGATTCACTTCCATAATGGTGCAAGGGCAGTACCATACATTACTCTCTATACCATGAACAGGCCAAAAATAATAGTTCAGACTGAACAGGAAGGCTGAATTTGCCCTGTTCAGGCAGGCTCTCTTCTATGATCTGTAAGGCACATTGACTTCTTGGGCTAGCTAATTGAAGTTCTATATGAGATCGTTCACTACCGATACCCAGTTAGTTTATATAAATGGCACACATGGCTGGGCTTTTCAAGGAATATCTTAATACTTAGGATATAGTAAGTGAATGAGATCATACCTAAACTGCATGTTTGCAGCATGCTGTTCTCCCAGAAACCTTCCAGGAATAAGTGCTTTATTAGAGGATAAGGAAGAGGGATTTATTGTCCCAAACTTTTTTAAAAATTTGCGTAATAGTAGTAAGCATAAGAGGTCCTTGTGATACCTTCATTGCTGTTAAGGAGGGTCATATCCCACATTAAACCATTCACAAGTGTCTTTTTGCTGCATTTATCTCGCTGTGATGTCTATTAATTCATAACATTAATTGTCATTGCCTTATATTATTATCGCTCTTGTCAAACTTAGGTGTATCTTGATATAATGTTTCGCTTGATTGGGTTCACTTAATTGTATTGAATATCAATATTCTATATAGATATATGTTAAAATATACTATAAGGTTAATGGTTTCAAAGTAGTTAAAAAGCAGTAATCAATTTAGCATGCTTCTGATACTTTTTTTAAGTTGTCCACAAAGTGTAAATCAAATAATGTCTCTTCATTTTCATCTTCCACATCTTCTTCTGGAAAATCAGAATTAAAATGAGACATGAATTCCTCCGGAAAACGGTCTTCTTCTTCTTCTTCCGAGGATCCTAACAAATTCGAATTATCCAAATCAACTTTTTGCTCGGGGTGTTTTTCCCGAGCATTTATCTCTCTCGTAATCCCTTCGATAGTTCTTTCTCGTTTTCCTTCTCTGTCTATCATCTAAAAAGTAAAAACGCGTTTCTTAAATTTAGTTGCTTTAAAAATGAATAAATAAATAAAGTTATAGGTTTAACGATTTTTTTAATCGAATTAAACAAATTGATAATATCATTAAAAATAATTGTGGATTAGAAATGGAAAACGACCTAAATCCAAAGAAAAAATTTTTTTCTAGAGTGTTGAAAAATGAAGAACGTTCGCAAAAAAATTGATTTGGTACTTAAGCCGTTTTCCATTTCACTTCTTTGGATTTGTAGCTAACAACACCTTACTTATTAATCTAACTTCCTTACTCTTAGCTTTTAAAGACCTTCTTAATTTTATTTTATTTTATAAGCAGAGTTGAACAGCCGACCCAATTTTTGGGCTTACGACTACTAATGTTCAACTCCGTATCCCTGTAATTTTGAGCCCAATTAAGAAGACAAGGGAACTCCTGGATCAAGTATTGGGAGATAAATTTTGCCTTCGTGGAGGACTTTTTAATGGAACTAACCCTCATTTGAGTTACATAAACAGGAAAAACACGAAAACCTCTCACGGTTAGTCTGACGCAAGCGGACTCTAACCCATGATCCGTCTACCACTGAGGATATTTTACGTCAGCACTGTGGTCGGTGAGCTGTATCTTGTGATCTAACTAGCTATAATTTGATTCCGTAGCTTTCAGAAACATCTGAAGTTATTTTGTATCAGCCCTGAAAATAATTTTTTTTATTAATTTATAGCTATTGAAATACATAAAAAAACGTGCTTAAATTTTAATCTTGAGTACAATTTGCAATAGTAAAGCAACTTTTGAAATCATGAATATCTTTTCAGGTTGAAACAAACTGGTTGATACGTTTTCATTTTTTAAAACATTTACTAGAAATGATTTTAGATTTGTCTAGGAGTCGAATAATAAAATAAAATTTAAAATTTAGAGATATAAAAAGAGTTTTATCACCTTAACCGCTTATATGTTAATGCTCCAAAAATGGAACCTGTACTTTGAGTTTGAACTTAAGGACTGAATAATACAATTTTTCATACAGTTAACCATTGCATTATGAAGTATTTTTAGTATTTATTTTGGCTCCATTTTCAGAATTATTTTATTTTTTATTAATGCTATAAATTCGTTATAATTTGTAAATTTTTATCCTGCCTGTAATATAATTTGCCAAAAATCCAATTGTCATTATGCGACTACAAAACTTATAAACTTTGAAGGGGAAAATATTACCCTCTCTTAGGCATCCAATTTGAAATTTTATTTTAAACTCATAAAACCAAAATACTAGTTTAATATAAAACTAGGAGGCTCCGCCCCCTGTTTGCTAACGCTCGCCAACTCCCGAGAATTGCTACGCAATCCTATGTGGTTCACGCCGTGAACCATGGCTCGCTGCGCTCGCTCGCCAATGAACACAATGTTCTAGCACAAAGACATAATATATAATCATCAAAGACATAGTATTTTATCATTAAAGACATAGTATTTTATCATCAAAGACATAGTATTGTACCTATGTAGAAGAATTCTACCAATGGCTTTTAAAAAAGTATATTAGCTATTTAGATTGTGCATGGTGAAAAAATCAAAACATTAGCTAAATAAGAAACATATTAGCAAAATAAATTATCAAATATTGCTTCTCTAATATTCTGCATTTTAAAGCGTGAAAATTCAATGCATAAATAAACGCGAAATATAAAAAAATTCAATGCATTCAATACAAACACTTAAACGTTTTTTAGACGTTAGCTCCCAGTAGAAAAATATCAATTCAACAGCGGCCTTTTAAAGCATTCTCACTTCAATTAATTAATTAATTCCTAATTGAGTTTAAATTGAATATTGTCATGTTTTCAGTTCATGAATCTGAATTGAACAACCTGATAATGCTCACTCTGGTTATTGTTTGTTATCTGGTTGCTCACTACGTGCTCTTGCGCGCCGAATCCAATCAATTAAAAATGAAAAGTGTTGCCAGCGCGAGAAAAGAAATATCATCGGTTTTATTGATACATACATACGTACGTATTAGCGTTTTATATAATATAGAAGATAGATGTTCTAGTTTTGGAACATTAGCGTTTCAAGGGTTCTGTTTTTAGATTTCAAGTTATTCATTGTTAGGTGATGTAATGGGAGTTTCATTCAATAAGTATTATGACACTTATTCGAAGATAAAAATGATGTTTGAATGGAAAAGAGCGGGATGAATGCGTTTTGATTTAACTTCCTTTGTTATGAATTTGCTGCGACTGATAACAGAGCGATAGTGGTAGAATGCTTAGTAAGTAATTTAAGATATGCATTCTTTCATGAACAGTGTTTTTCGCTGTTCTTGATTCTTGAAAAGAAGTTCTTTCAGATAAGGTGTAACTTTCAAGGGGCTTTTATACTTTTTTGTGTTATTTAACAATGATTGAGTTGAAATTTAACATTAACGAGGTTTGTCACTGTGTTCCCAACCATGGTATTGAACAGATTCTCGCTATTGATAATTTATTTTATTCTTATGCTTTATTTTATTTCCGATATAAATATTTTGTTATTAATGTAGTTAAAAAAGAGTGTATCCTTTTCCTATTTGTCTCATTTACAAATTTTGCTTCAATTTAGCACCGTGTCTAAGAGATGAATAACAATACAACAAACAATGGCCTTGTTAGAATCATTTTCTGATTCAAATTTAGAAGATCAAGATGTTTGTTAGCTAGATGACAGTAGCTTAGACCCTGTTATTTCATTCTATTTTTATAGGATATTGTTTTTCAAAGCAATAGTGGAGACGATAGAGAGTAAAATAAAACCTTAGAATCAAGTGCAAATAGAAAACGAAAAACTGAAAGCTCAGTTATAAAATCGAATAAAAAAGTGAAATTTGATGAGTCAACAGAATTAAAAAGCCAGAAACAATTTTCTAAAGCCCTCATGAATGCATATGAATAGTGCTTCTCTTAACGTATTTTAAAACTATTACTGGGGAATATATAGAATATCTCGTCAATATATAATCATTTTATTCTTTAAAAAAAGTTTAAACTACTAATGCATTTCTCTAAATTTGACCTGAAAATTTAAATTTTCAGTTAGTAGCCAATGGCTGGTAGACTCTAATAACTTAGTAGCCACTTTCTCCTCAAACTTTATGAGTCTGTGACTAATATCGACAGGTCGTTTTCCTTTAATAGTCACTTTTTGAAAACTTTCTTCCTGTTTGGATAAATATTAGAAATAATCTACGACTTACATTTAGAAGCTCTTTAGTAGTAAATTGATCAAATTTCAAGTTATTTGGTTAATGCTTTCTGAGTTTGGTATTTAAATGGTTCTGAAAATTTCTTATTTTAACTTTAAACTTGCAATGATAAGGTTAACCAGCTTTAATATCATTGCTAGTATTCTCAATTTTTTTCCTGTATTATTCCAATTAAAAGAAAGTAACAATTTAAATTAAAAAAGATCTGAATATTTCATCAAAGAAATAATACTTAAGCACTAAGTAACTTTGCCATATTTTTCTTATACTTTTGTAATGATCTTCCCTACCCCACTGAGCAAATGTATTCTATAAACTAAACTAACTCAAAGCACGCTGCCGAAATTAATTCTTTCTAATTTATTCTTTCAAAAGCATCATCGAGAGAAAAAATATAAACGCAAGTTTTAAAAAATACAATTGTTTGTTTGAATAAGTAAATAAACAAATCAAGAAAGAAACAAAAATGTCACCAACATTTCGCCTATTGCGTATTAAAACTTTAACTTTTTTTAAAGATATTATTTATTAATAACAAATAATTCTAAATAATCATTACTTAATGGTTAAATTGTTTTCTGGCATGTTCACTTTTAAGATAGTTTAGATAGTTTTAAAAGTATAAATTTGGATTTTAGAATGAATAAAATGCAATAATCGGGATTAATATAATGTTTTAAGGAAAAGAAGGGTGTGCCAAAAATTAATTTATAAAGTAACTAATGCAATTGTAATTGAAGAAATTGATTATGTGTGACGACTAACAGACAATCTCAAGTTCTATAAGTGTGATTGTTTAAAAATTTATTACAATTTTTTACATATTTTTTTTATACAAATACTGCTTTGGCTTAATCGCTTTGCTTGAGAAGCAATATAATTTTTTAAAGTGTTTAATAAAGTACTTTCAAAATTTCTAAAAATATTCAAAATTCAAGAACAATTGATGAAAATATAGATATTTTAAAACTATTTTTTCTATTGAGTTATTATAGCTTCGTATGACTATTATAATGACTATTATAATGGTCAAACAAATTTGGATAAATTTTTCTATAGAGAAAAATATTTGTTTATTTTTAATGTTATTTATGTTTTGATTCTGTACAATAAATATACTCTCATAACTGATTTTAAAAAAAATAATAATAAAATTTGCTTCCTGTAAGTCTATTTTTAATCATAATGTAACGTTTATGTAATAAAAATAGACTTTTTTTTATCACAAAACTTCCTTCTTTATCACAAAACTTTTACGATATTTTAAAGAAGTTATAGTTAGGATTTGTTATAGTTTTCTATAAAGTCTAAATAAAATATTAAAGCTTATACAATGATATTAGGTCTGACTTTTATTACCCTTTACTCTCGCGAATTCTTGTCCTAAATAATAGCTAATAAATTGAATTATTATCTAATTTAATTTATGAAAAAATGGGGACAACGTCGTTTAAATACTTAAATGACCAACTCACAATATGTAGTTGATGAGAATTTTTGAGTCATGCAGAGACTACTTAAGGACTTATTCTTCACCCTATATTTATTATTCACATTCATTGTTCCTTAAATAAAATTCTTGAGTTTCTTATATGTTGAAAATTATTTTAAGTTCTTTCAAAGAAAAGTATTTAAGTGGCATATTAAAAATATAGATTAATTATAATTAAATCCAGACTGACCTTATCGTATTTTCAATAGCAATGAAAAATTATACCTTAAGTAAAAAATTTGATTCAAGTTACATTTCCAGGGGTTTTTTCTGCTGTCTCATGCCAAATAGCGTAGAAATGCCCTACTAAATTATATTTCAATCCGTAAAAAAATGCTAAAAATTAAAATTTATCATTTTTTATATTGAGTTATTTGAGTTTTGTTTTTTGCACCAGAATGGATAATATACAGTGTTATTCATAATTCCCTCCGCCTGTAAACGCCATTTTTCTTTACTACAACTGGCTTCAGTGGTGCAATGCATGTTACTGCCATCTACCGGCAACTGCTTAAATTAAAACTAAAATATTTTCGGAATAATTTCATATGTTCTTTTTTGCCATATTCGTCTTCGTTTTTTTACTATAACGCTTCAAAACCCCGGAAGGAATTATGAATAACCCTGTATAATTCAATAAAATATATATTCACTATAAGAAAATTGTCATTCTTTTTCATCACGAAATTATTTTTCGAACAACGCGATAATTAAAAAACGATAATTAAGTTAATTAATCGAAATTATTTTTAAATAAGCATTCTTTCGCATTTATGAGTTTTCTTTGTTCTCAGCTACTCAAAAATCTGATCTTTTTTCTTTATTCTAAGAAAAAAAAATCGCATTTTTCACATGTAATGCTTGCGTCTCAGGAGAGTACCTATAATTAAAATTAACCAGAGCTTTTTCTTTTTTAAATTCCCTAACATATATTTAATATTATTCGCTTACTGCTGCCATCAAGTTTTTTTCTTGCTTCAAAGAAAATGCTGTGAACTCCGGTACTTCAATCAGCAAAATACATCCGTTCGGAGTTGAACAAGCCACCTCATTGCTGTGCTGTTTGTGATTCAGACGAATTAAGCCTTCTGTTTCAAACTAATGGGAAATAATTAACAGTAGGTGAGCAACTGTGATCAAACTTAGCGTTTAAATGAGCAATTCTTCATTATCACTGCACTTACTTTAACAGACAAAACTGGGCAATGGTGCTTAATAAGTATATCCCATAATTCAAGATGACCGGTGCTTTTTGTCACCAACAAAAATGACGGATGGTTTTGGCTCCAGATTGCATCCGTTACATACCCTTTTGGACTTCTGTGAAAAGAAAAAGTATGTTAAAAGTAATTCACTCAAAATAAGTCTTAAAAATGAGCTCAGAAAATTTTGCTAAATTTGACTACTTTTTGGACCAATTTAGTCGGTAGGTTTGCATTAAAACGTATAACATCTAATGATAAAGTTAAATTATTCAGGCTGTTAATTTACGAAATGTATCATAAAAACTGTAAATGTTAACTCTCGATGAAAGATTCCTTAATGTGGATGTGGAAATGCAAAAAATAAATAAAATGGTCGAGACAATTTTATTAAATTTGGCTACTTTTTGAACCAATTTAGTCGGTAGGTTTACATTAAAACGTATAACGTCTGATGATAAAGTTCAATTATTCGGTTTGTTAATTTATGAAATTCTTCATAATAAAGCTTGCAAGCAAATGTTAATTCTCGATGAGCGATTCTTTAATGTGGATGTGGAAGCAAAAAGAAAAATTATTTTTAAAGAAAAACTCTAGTCAAAGAGCAGTATTATTTGATTGATTGTTCGATCAAACTTGCCCTGGTCTAGATAGTGGGTAAAGTATTCACACTTATCATTGCTTGGGTCAGATTTCAATTCCCTGTACTAAAGTCTAGGTGTCTCATCGTATTACTCTTTCTGGTTTCCAATTGTTATCTCCTAAGATTCCAGAGCCGACAAAGTTACCCATGGTTGTGTGGTAGGGCTAAATGTTGCCGAGGAAGAGTACCATTATCTGCCCACCTATATAAATTATGATAGTGTTGTGTGCTTTTGTGTCTGTATTGTCTTTGGACAATCATTAAGGATGAATCCCAGATCGTCATCCATAGCTAGTTAGTGTAGCAAATCAAAAACGATGAATCTAGGTGTACTCCTAATATGCATTTTTATCAGTTCATCATTACTGGTATTTTTAAATTTCAAATTAACTTACAAAAATTTAGAAAAAAGTAAATTTGTTAAACTTTGTGAATAAATTAAACGAAAAAAGTTTTCTTATTTTTGCTTTTATTGTTGGATTGAGAATTCCTTACTGATTTATTTTTACTTATATTAACTTTATTCAATATATTTCTGTATATTGATGGTTAAAGGTAACAAATTTAAAGGTAAAGTTATAATTACCCAATGTACTTTCTTCATTTTGAGGAGGAAAGCCCGCTGTTTAAATACTTACCAAAGTACCGCTGTTTAAATGCTTAATACTTACTTTAAATTTATCATTGGAGATTCTGTAAGGTCTTCAGACCATACCTAAAATAAGAAAACGTTTGTCTCAAATATGAATATTGTTCACATTATAATTTTGAAAGAGAAGTTAAAAGAATAGTTTAATAATTATGAAAATATTTAGGATGTTTAAGGGCACTCTACAAAGTTTTTTGCCACTGTTTGAATACTCAGAACAAAACTTTAAACTTAAATTGTATTAGGGGTTAGGAAGTAGGGAGCAATTGAACCCTAGTTGATAAATAAAAAGCTGACAAATTACTTAGTTTCAATTCTCTTGTGTTTTGCTTATGGATTTTTATTTTTTTTTTTTCCTTTTTACTTAGAATTTGACTTTTTAAACATTTTTATTGCTAAGAAAGCATACCTCAACGCCATAACAACTGCAAGATGCGAAGAGCTTTGGAAAAAACACATTCCTGGAAATATCAATTACTGGTCCATATCTTGAAGGGTACGATCCTGTGATGATTTCCTTTGGATCTTTGTATTTACGATTGCATGAAAGAACTGTACCTTCTTCAGCCCCTACCATTAACCGATTCGGCTGAAAAAATATTTCATTATGTTCAGTAAGAAGATGGAGTTAAATCATTTTGAAAAACTGTTCAAAATATCTCTACATTTCATTTCCGTTTTTTAAATGCTCCAAGGTATTATACTATTTTATGAATTAAAATCATTATCTGTCTAAACCAGTGCATATACAAGGTGCGCCTGGAAAGTTCAGAGTGGGTTCAGCTCCTTTTTTTAATCTCAAAGTTGCATCAGTTCGCTGCAATGTGATTTTCGAAGAAATACATTTCCGCAATATCCCCTAGTAAAAGGCTGATAGAGAATAAAACTTCTCAACTTCATAGCCAACGACATGCTGATGCAATGTGGTTACTATTGCGCACCGACCGATAGTGGGGGGATAGAGCTCCAGATCTTCACAATTACTATTCATGGTCATATTGTTCTGCTGGTATGAGCCTACACAAGTTACTTTAAGAATCGATCATATAGTACACATTTCACTCGTCTTCAATGGGTAAAGCACAAAATAGGGGCAAATCTTGCGCTTACCCAAATCTTTGTGAATGATCTGTTATTGCTGATTCCCAATTCCTCTGATATCCATCGGTGGTTATGAATATATGGTCATAGATATGATGACAGATATTATCCAACAGCATGGGACTAACCCGTTGGGGAATATCAGTCATCATATTTTATGGATGTCGAACAGAAAATAATCAACCAAGGCCTCCCTTTTATCCTGGAAAACTGTAAAACAAATCGTAAACGTGTCCAGTTAGTAATAAAACTTTGTTTATCCGCAGTTTCATCTCAACTTAGCTTATTTTTTACCCCAATCAACTTTTTGTAGGAGGCTAATCTACTTCAATTTCTTATGACCTTTGCCATGTGCCGTTTCCTCATGGGTCTCTATCTGCAGATGCATATGAGAGTATTGTCATTTCGCTTTGCTTTTGGGACATCTATACATAAACGAACGTTTCAGACACACCTTGTAATTCGTTCAAATTGCAAAATACAGAATTTTTTTTTACTTAAAATGGGATAAGTGTCTTACTAGTGTAGAGTCATATTCTAGACATGTCATGTTATAGCAGACATCTGGGTTTGTACTTTGTATAAGAGGCATTGATAAATTAGGCTGGACCATGTTTCTAGAATCCCAGCAGTATAACTGAAAAGGAAGAATTTAAATGAATAAAGAATTTTATTAAAATGTGTAATTATTTAGAACATTGCTAAGTAAAATTGAAGATAAAAATTCCTACATGTCCTCTATTTATTAGCAAAGTTTAAAGTTACCCGGTAGAACAATTTATGAAGTTCGTATAAAATCATAGTGTTTTTAAAGAAAGGCTCCGAAAATTCAAAATTATTTTTAGAAATTATTATCTTTTCCAAATTAACAAGAATATTTACAAAAGTAGTTGCAGTACAGGGTTATTCATAATTCCTTCCGCCTGTAAACGCCATTTTTCTTTAGTACAACTGGCTTGAGTGGTACATGTTACTGCCATCTACCGGCAACTGCTTAAATTAAAACTTGAATACTTTCGGAATAATTTCATATGTTCTTTTTCGCCATATTCGTCTTCGTTTTTTTTTTTTTTAGTATAACGCTTCGAAACCCTGGAGGGAATTATGAATAACCCCGTATATTCAATTAAAAAGAAAATATCAACAATCATGTTCGGCCAGGATTGTTGATATTGTTGAAACCACGGTCATTTTAACTAACTTCTCTTTAATAGAGATACCAAATATTTCTTTTTTTTTTCGTTGACCAATTAATACATGATTCCAAAAAGAGATCATGGCCAGTAAATTTACTTTGTTTAGCAATTTTAATTTCTTTTATATTATATTTATATTAAATATTTAAATTTGATTCATAACTTTCAAAATTTGACGATTTTCAGCTCAAATGCTTCTTTGTGAACAACTATTATTCATAATTTTGGAACATATTTTTCATTCGTTATGAATCAACTCAATGATGATAAAACGATTTTTGAATTTTTTTTCTTTTATTCTATATTGATATAGAATATAAGAAAAGAGATATTAATGGGTGTTGTAGGTTGTTTGTTGTCTGTTGCTCTTCTGCCTGTTGCTCCAGGCAGGAAACCTTCGAGTTGAGTTTATGACAATTACTGGTTTAAAGGAGTCTTTTTATTAGTGAAAAAAATATGTAATAAAATATTGAGAAATAAAATAGATCAAAACTAAGTAGACTTTTCCATCTCTTGACGCGGAAACGAATTCTAATCCACTCTTTGATGTAATCCACGTTATATCTGATACACTTTCCTTGTGACTGGCATTAATGGGTGTTGTCTGTTGAGCCTTGCCTCCGATTCTTGCATCCCACAAACCTATTAAAAAAGAAGAAGAAAATTTAAGCCCTTAGAATGAAAACGGCAGTGCATAATGAACCTCTAATTTTGACAAATTTATATATTCCGAAACTGCCCAATTCCATACTCAAAAATTAAACGAACTTATTCTTACAAAGAAACGGTACGATTTTGTATGTTCACCTCGGAATGTCACACTGTTTATTAACAGTAGCCTGCCTCAAACAATTCCGAGGAAAGAAACTGAAAGTTACTTACGGTTAATTTAGTTCTTAATTTTCTAATTACTTTGCCAAATCGCGAAAGTACACAAGAAAAATTTTATGGTTATACCACTCCGAATTTGGTTTTTGAAAATTCCAAAAAGTGAGTGAATGAATGCATTATTTCAAGTGAACACCGAATCGGGTGTATCTTTTACATATTTTAAGGAATGTTTTTAATGCTAAACACGATTAATGGAGAATGCTTACATCAGGCTCACGATTCATGAATTGTGTTTGCCACAGAAAGCGCCATTTTGGCTACTTTTGGAAATCGTCGAATGTCAACTATAGATTGATTTGAATCGAGCACGAGAATTGCTCGTCGCTTACCATTTAAGAGAAATCAAATGGTTGTATGTATGTCTTTAATTGAGTAATATAATTAAAAAGTTTTACTTAAATCCGTCAACCATTATAAATAATTTTATATACTCAATACGCTTCTGTTCTGTTAAACCTAATTCGAATACGCTTTAATGTACTTTCTGTGATGTGAGTAGGATTACCAAACAAATTAATTTTATTTCAAGAACTAATGAGAGTATACATTCTAAATTATTAGTTATTGCTGTAAATTGTATCTCAATAATTACTTCCCTGACCTTTACGTTAATTATATCTTCTTGTCATGTTTTTTTAGTTAAATCATAACTATATGATTGATCGAAAACAAACCGAAATTAACGAAAAGATGGCAGAGATATTAAATTACAAATTGTTGATATACTCTTCAAATCTTCAGCCATTTAAGTATTTCTAAAGAGCTCCACTGTGACTGGGTAGTAAAGAAACATCTGCCGTAATCGTCCATTCTTATTACTTTCAATAAATTGTTGGAAAGTTCCTTTATTTATATTTTTTTTTTGATTAAAAAGTTTTAATAATTTATCCTCAACATACTCACCAACTTGTCCGTTGCCATATCCACCAAGGAGCAACTCTAAATCTCGAGGTGAATATTCTACAACATTTAAGGAAGCCCTTGGCAGCAAAGTGCAATAAGGAACATTGCAATTCTCTAAATCATAAAATAAATAAAAAATTGTACCTCTTCGCACTATAATTACAGTTTAATATCATTCAATAAGAATTTTTTTAACTAAGTATTTCCGTTAATTCGCTTAAAATGTGGTCCACATAATATTATACTCAAATTTTTACATTCTTGCAATAAAAAATCGATTTATTATTAATGCAAAATATTTTCCGATCGAAAGACGTATTTATCGATATTTATCACAGTTTAAAAATTTGAAAGGGTAACGGATTGAATTAGAGAAATCAATTATAAGTCCATTAGAGAAAACGCAAAACGCAGGGTGTTCTGTAAAGATCACTCATAATTTATTGTTTTAGAATCCTTATGAAAATTGAAAACAAAAACGTATGAAAATATCTACATTGAGGGAAGGGGTCTCAAATTAATATTTAAACAAAAAATAACAAAATTCCATCGAAATCAGATCAATTACAGTACAGGAATACTAATGCAAATGCAATATGAATGCCCAACTTCGAAACAGAATTGATTGGAGGTTGAAATTTCAAGGAGTTTTTAATAGTCGTCTTCAACTTCATTCTGTTTTCTCCCGAAAATCAAACCTGAATTTATTTACAACAACTGATTTACATGTTCTGCGATTTATCAGACATCGATAACGTTTCCGTTTTTCCTACCTTAAATATTAATTTGCAACCCTTAATGTGTATGCTTTTTCATTTTCAATTTTTATGAGGATTCTAAAATTACATATTAAAGGTGGTCTTTACGAGAACACCCCGCACATAAATTGAATTTTTGTGGCATGCACTGCAAGCATAAAATATACTTATAAAACCCAAAAGGCTATACAAAAATATATTCGTTTCTCTTTATTTTTCTTTTACATCTGACTTATTTTATCCGACTTCCCTAGAGAACATTATTTGTTTCGCGCAGTAAAGCTGATACAGTGTCTTAAAGCTCTTCATTTTATCCATCAATTCTTTATTATTCAAATTTTTATACTAAAATAATGGAAACAATTCGATACTAGCACATTTTTTTTATATTTCTCAAAAAATACTTAGAGAATCAGTTTATAAATTTAGAAGTGTTTAGATCGTGCCATTTCTCATACTGAAGTTTGAAGCTTTTTAAGGTTTGGGGGACCAATATATCAATACCACCAATATATCGTTGCAAGAGAGAAAAACTTTTTTTAACACCCTATGCCAAAAATTGTAGCAATAAATTTGTAACTCATAACTATCATTTTGGATATTACAGGCAATGATTGTACAAAATTTAGCAAACCTAGCTTAAATATTTATGTAGATATAAAGACTTTTATAAAAATTGTTTACGTTTTTTTGCTATAACTTTAAAAATATTCTATAAAATTAAACAAAACTATTGGATCAATTTAAAATTGATTATATAATTATTGCCTTAAAATTTAAAAAAAAATTCGTTTGAAACTGCTCAAGATATGAGCAATTAAAATAGTTCTTTTATACGGCAATGCGGGATAAAAATTTTTAAAAAAAATTTTTTTTCCATAGCGAATCGTATTTGGTAACTAATAAAAAATTTCTAATTTGAATATCTTACAAATTTGAAGCTTTTCAAGTAAATTTCTAAGTAGTTTTCTTACTTTTTAAAAGAAAGCTCAAAATGATAAGGAGTTTTCTAAAGGATAAGGAGTATCTTTTCTTTCGCAAGTTTTATTTCTTAATACTATTTCACTTCGTTATACGGACCATCATTAGAAGGGTATAATCATTTGATAATAAATCTTGTTTAAGGGTAGGAAATGAGATTTGTGGAAAACCCCATATCGCTTTGAGTTTTCTCTTAAAAAGTAAGAAAACTACTCAGAAAATTACTTGAAACTTTTTAAATTTTCAAGATCTTCAAATCGAACTTTTTTAATAAGTTGCAACATCAGAAAATGTGGTAGAATGAAAGTACTTCCATTTCTTTGTCTAACCCCTGTATTTTATTAATGCAGTTTCTATTGCATGCGCAGTATTTACAGTTTTTGTATAATAACTATTTTTTAACTTCTTAAAATCATGTATTTCAATTTATGTAACACCGTTTATTAAAATAAGAGTTCTTTTTTTGAAAAATTAAAAAAAATAGTAATAATAAAAAACTTATTGCTCGCACAGGAGCTACATAAAAAATATCTATACTGTTAATTTCAAAAACAGTAAATTAGATTAAAACTAAGTTACCCAATCTGCTGTTAACCAATATCTCTGTAGTAAACTAAGTAAGTCCTTAGTATTTTTCGACATTTACTGATATTTTTAGAGACTCTTTATGCCTTTAGGCTAATTAAGAACAGTGTGGATCGCAATTAGCCTACACAATCAGGAAGAATTCGCGTAGGCTTTTTGAAATTTATCTTTCACAAATTATTTACAATAAGCTTTCACGACAATGTTAGTATTCGAAACTACCTAAAGTAAGTCAAGCAAATTGCGCAATAAAATTTTTTTGATAAGACCTAAGACGTATCGCCTCTTTGCAATAACTTTACTAAGTGTCAGGTTGATCAAAAAATATTCCAACACTCTTTTCCAATAAACCTTACACACTGCACAATGACGGTGGTAATTAGAGAAGAACTAAATTATTCTAACATAAACAAACAAACATATAATTTTACAGATTCCTTTCTATTAGATATTCTTAATATTCTTTAAAATAATTAGAGTAATGTAAAAGTAAATAGATACGGTTTATTATTATTATTATGTGATCCACAAATTAACTACCACTTTTTTAGATAGTTACTTTTTTCATTACAGCAAAAGAGGATGTGTAGAAATTCATGAGCAACTTTCTAAATTATTATCATCATTGTAATTATTAGCATGAACAATATTAAAAAAAAAATAATATTATTCAATATTTAAACAAAAATATGACCTAGCAACAACAATTCATGTTTCAATTTACACACTAAAGAAATTAAGGGGTCATAGTACCCTTACAACAATTTTTTTAAATAAAGGTATAATCATTCATTTTGTGGATGCTTTACATGCTCATTTAACTTATAATCAATAATTTATCTTCAAAAAATGATCAAAATGTTTAATTTTTTTTGAAATTTTAAAAAAAATTTAAAAAATACAAATTTTTAAATCCCTAAGGCTTTTTTTTTATTTTAACATATTTTCGAGAAAAAAAAATTTCTTAGTGCTTACACTATTCATCCTAACAATTTTGTGCATCCATTTGTTGATATATCAATTAGAATATTTTTTATAGATTATTTGGTAAAAAAGTCGAAGAAAAGGTTAAAAATTCCTGTTAGGTATATATAACATGCTGCAAAAATTGTAATACCTCATAAAATGCTTAATCTGTACACAGTTTAAATAAGTGTTTTATACTTAAGATAAAAAAAGTTTGCTTCAAAGCTTTATCTTAAATAGACAAAAATCCATAGGGATTTAATACAGATTAAAACACAAAATTATCATCTACGAAAAAAAGCACTTTAAAGTCTGTCTGCCGAGCAAGTTTCTGTATTAGGGCAATCTAAAATCATTCATAAATTTTTTTAAAAATGTAGATAGAGAGATGATTTTTTTTCAGTGCATTTAAAATAGTTTGAAGTTTTTTTAGAAGCAATAAATTTTTTTCTCGATATTTTGGTCATTTTTTGGGTACTGTGAGTCTAAACATAAATTTAAAATTTAAACTACTAAAGCTTGATTAAAATTTAACCTATTATTAAAAAAAACTGAAGACTATTTTAAACTTAAATCATATTTTTAGTTTAGGCATTTAATATTGTCTAAATAAACAGCATAACTAACGAATATTATTTACGCTATTCCAGCATACCTTTCAAGAAGAAATCATGAAAATAATTTATTTCTAAGCAATGAAAAAAAAATTATTGGCTTACGGATATGATTATATTTTAAGTGATCAAGTTTCATGCATTTACCTATGTCCCATATATAGCATTCACAGCAGGAACTGGATGTACTTAAATGTATTTCATCAATTGAATATGCTCCAGTAATTTTGCTTCCATCCAGCGACCATGATAAATCTAGAACTTTCCGTTTAATATCACACAAGTCCCTAATCACATGATAATTATAATCAGTAAATCATACTTATCTAAACATTCAACTTAACTATTTAATCATGAGAAAATTTAATCCACACTGAGCTGCCACTTTATTATGACCAAGCAACAGTTTCATACGAATCGGCTCTTGCGTCACAGTGTTGCCATTCGAGAGGTAGTATAGTTTAGGATCTTTACTTCATGTATATAGTATTTTGGTAGCAGTACTTCATTTATACCGCACTAGAGCTGAACAATTGAGTATTGGCGGCGGCCCAAGAAACATTCCTGAAAATGATCCGAAAACATGCTATCACAATTTTGATCCCCCCCAGAGGGGATGGCTCCCCCGCTTTTGTTGCCCAACGACCTGCTTGCGAAGTCGCGAACTTTACGATAGAGCAGTTCCAAGAGAACTGATACCGTGCACAATTAACCCCTTAACGATCGGTTAATTTTCAAGAAAACGGTCATAAAAGTGCCTATTTTTTATCACATATCACAAATATACGTATTTGATTAGTGCTGACATCTAGTTTAAAATAAACTAACTATCTACAATTATCTTGAAAATATGCTGGTACTGCTACTGGTGTGCAAAATGAGAAATAAATATATTCCGGGCAAAAGAAATGAATTAGTTTTATTCTTATTGGAGCGTTACTACTGAACACTCCAGCCCGTCATTTTCACGGGAGCGAGAGGGAAGGGGTTAATTCCTTCACAGACTGCTTACCCACCCGCTCACTGACCACAGAGAGTGATGCTTGATCCACTGGGAACAGTGTCTCCCAATAAGTTCACTGTGAGCCATGGTAGTTTTGGATTAGACATCCTACTTATACATCATTTTTGAACAAGTACATCCTGTAATACTGATCCCACCAGCAGTTCTTTCAATAGAATAACGCATCTCGTCATACAGCTAGTCTTTTAAGAGATTGGTTTCAGGAACTAGGAGATTTTACTTTGTTAGATTGGTACCACTAACCCCCAGATCTCTCTTATTTGTAAAAGGCAATTGAAGAGCCATTTGTCCATAACCATCAAGCCTTACACTATCAAAAAGTGCCTGTGCAGAAAACGTCCTAGCTATGTCAAACTGAGCAGGCTTCTCCCGAACACATCCTGGACTGTTTGGGACTTTCCAGAGAGGACATATACTTACCCCCCCCCTTCTGGTCCTCGATTTTCTTAGGGTCAACGGTTTGCTGGACCTTGTCTGACTTCGTCAGGCATTGAAGGATAAGCCACAACAACAACAACAGCGTCCTAGCAGTAAATATTTTGTTAGAATTCATGTCATGAATACGCTAAATTGAGGAAGAAGAAAAATTCATCAACAAATATTGAGGAAATAGCCATAATAAAGTGCCAGCTCAGAGCATATTTATCATTTGATTATTTAATTTCATTCTTTGAAAATCTTCCAACGCAAAAAGACTATAATTTTCCACAGTTGGAAGCAAATATTGCTCGTGAGTTTCATTACTACGATTGTTTAAATATTTAGGATTATTGTACTTACAAGCTATGTAATGATTAAATATTTAATATAAATGATTTTGGGTAATGTAATGATTAATATAAACTATTTCATACCATAAATTTTAAAATGTAAATTATATATTGTAAATTAAATATAAATTAAACTTCATATTAAAATGCGTGCTTAAATATAAAAAATGTATCATATGTGTGCGCTTAATTTAATTTTCAACAAAAATCTAAGTTTATGTTAAGTGCGGAAACTGCAAAACACTCTTTAGGTTATGTATTTCATAGTTATTTCATAACATTATTATCATTATTAATTGTAAAAATCTCTTACGAACCTAAATACGTTGCGAGTTTTAAATTGCGTTTCATCATTTCGAAAATCCAAATCTTCAGTAAAATATTCCTCGTAAATGTTGACCGAGTTATTTTCCATTAGAATCATCTCCACTTGCTAAGACAAAAAACAGTAAAAAATTTATTATTCAAAAATACAAACCATATGAAAAATAATGTATCAAATTTGTAAGAACAAAATTTAAAGGCAAAGAAAGAAACATAGTTATAATATTTGATCAAATTAGCAATTTATCATTATTCAAAGCTCTGAGGTATAGAGAGCCAAACATTAACCAATTTCAAAAGTGGTTTAAAATAAAAAAAACTATTAAGCTAATTAGGAAAGAATTAGCATTAACATATTTTAATGCGTACTTTCACATTTATTTTTAGCTTATAACGCTATATTATAAGCTATAAATATACACATATTTATAGTTTATATCACATATGTTTATACAGTGAATTCGCGATAACTCGAATCTGATAGGACTGACGAAAACTTTCGACGTATCGGAAGTTCGACTTACCGTTAGTTTCGGTTTTGGACTTCCAAAATATTGTCGGATTATTTAATTAATGCTTATTAATTACAAATCTTCTAAATGCTTACAATATTTAAGATCATTTTTCTGACAAGCCATTTACGATAAGACTGTTTGAAGCACTTTATGATACCCTGGTCCATCGGCTGCAACTTTGCTGTTGTGTTTGGCGGGAGAAACTGCAAGTTTACTGCTTTCAAATTAGGTAGATCACTATGCGCTGTGCATTTATCCATAAAGAGTATCACTTTTCTTTTTTTAGCGAAGAATTTCCGATCCAATTTTCTTACATAGTCTTCAAATAAAACTGATGTCATCCAAAACTTTTTGTTAGACTTGTAATCCAAAGGATACGTTTTTACATTCTTGAAACATCGGGGATTTCGGTATTTTCCGATAACAAGTAAGGGCAATTTCTCTGTCCCAGACGCATTTCCTCCAACTAGGACAGTCAAACGTTCCTTGCTCATTTTACCCCCTGAGCAGTTTTCATCCTTAAACATCATAGTCTTATTTGGAAGACATTTAAAAAATAAACCCATTTCATCAATATTGAAAACATCATTTTAACTGTATCCTTGAAGTAAATTTGGTAACGTTTCATTTAACCACTGTTCACATACTTCAAGAGGGACAGCTTTAGCTTCTCCATGAAGAGTGCGAAAGACATTGTGTGTGTGTTGCAAAGGAAGGGGCAAGATATCAGCTCCTAGGTTTTTTTTCTTGCTTTAAAAGATCCAAAAAAAATCGAGTTAAAGGGAGTAAAATTCGAGTAATCGAGAATAATTAACATGAAATTGAAGATAAAAGGGTCGGGACCTCATAAAAAAATCGAGTTATAGTAATATTCGAGTTATCGTACTTCGAGTTATAGCGAATTGACTGTAGTTTATAAATTTAAAGTTTATAGCACGTGCTGTTATCCACCATATCCATTGTATACTTTAAGTCATAATGGAATGAATATTTACAGTTCATATTGTAACTAAGTTAATGTAGGGCATTTTTATGGATACCTTAGTAAGTTAAATCCTAATACCCAACAAATTTCTTTCACCTTGTGTTTTTCTTTCACCTTGTCTCACATAGAAAAAAAATGGATGAGAATTTCTCACCCTTTCTCAAAAACAGGGTGAGATTTCAAAAAGTTAAGTGAGATTTCTAAAAACTAAAAAATCACAAACTCTTGAGAAGAAAAATCATTTCCTTAATTATAATACATTTTTAACGTCTTTTACTTTTTAAAGCATTGAATATTTTTGGTGCATCATCATAGAAGATTTTGCTTTTACAAGGTATTTGTCCATCTTACATCAGCACATAAAAAAGTTGAACGTCTTATGCGAAGAAACCTTACCTACGGTAAACACGTGGTTGCAGAGAAATGTGTTCTAAAAGGGGCTCCGTGGTTGTGTTCTGTTGTTCGAAAAGTTTCTGAACAATACTGGTAAATAGGGAAGCTAGATAACGGGGCAGATGTTGAAAATAATTAAAGATTCAGGAAGAAAAGTGAAACGGATTTTATTCTAAATAGCGTAAACTTTTCCAAAATGCGAGAAATTTGCGAATTTTGAAACTGATTTATAGAATACGCGAATTTCTCGCGGTAATAATTTTTTAATGCGAGAAAAGAAAAAAATATGCGAGATTCTCGCGTTCTCGCGCTGTAGTGAAAACACTAAACTTAGTTAAATGATGCAATGATTGAATTTTCACAAAAATATATTCGAAATATTTTTCTTGTGTGAATATGACTACTTCGATACAATTTCAAAATAAAAAACGATGTACATAATAAAAAGATGCACAAAAAAAGAAAAAAAAAGAAGGAAAAAAAGAAAGAAAAAACGCGTCGTTCAGTTAACTGACATTCTGTTCTCTTCATCTCGATCAACAGATGACGCTGCTAAGTCAAATTCTAAAGACAGATTTTTTTTAAAGCGCTTACTTCCAAGAATTATTAACTACTAGCTTCAGAAAATAATCTTTTAATTGAAATATTGACTCTTTATGGCTCTTGATAAAAGAAATATTTTAAAATTAATAAGCGAATCTTATTAATTTTATAATAAGAATAAGAGTTATAGTTATAAGAGTTATAATAGATTTATAACAGTTTTATTATATAATATATAATAGTATTATAATAGAGCTATAAGAGTTTTATTTTATGATAAGAATAGAGTGTATAGCAAAATTTGTAAATAAAAGAAAATTAAATAAAATTAAAAAAATTAAAAATTGTTTGCAAAAACTCTGTTTTAATTAAAATTTTATAAAACGATCCTTTGAAAAATTAAATAAAACCCAATACTGTAAAAACCAGCAAAATTTTTTACAATATTTATTTCATTTTACTTTTTGTTCTGTCAACTTAGCTTTATAATTTTGCTTAGAAACAAGCTTAGAGATGTTTTAAAAAGATGGGTAATGTCTAAACATAAGTACGCCTGCTTAAGATGAAAAAGTATAGTCGTACATAGCTAACACAATAAAGAAATCAGAAGGAAAAAAGTATTTATTAAAGGATAGGGGAGAGTCGGGTAGCCCCGCCCAGCGGGTACCCCTGTCCACAGCCAATTTCATATGTATAGAATGTTTTCTCAACTCAATGGGCCATCGGACATTAATTGTTATCCTTAAGTGGACGGGGCTACCCGACTCTCTCCGAAACTTGCTGAAGATATTGAAAAAAAAATCTCTTTCTTTCAAAAATTGAAATTTGCTGCTGCTGTATTAATCTGTAGCTCCCACTGCCGTATTAGAGAGCTTTTACTTCCTGGCTCATACCTTATAATACCTTTATACCATCGCTATCCCTGGAACGGTATCTTCACCAGTAGGTCAAAAAAAAAGCAAAATTATTTTATAATCACTCAGCATTTAGTTCCAAAGGCATAAATATTTTTTTTTTAAAAAATTGTTACTTCTCCAAGCATCTTCACAGAATCAATAAAATTTTCTTCTTTTTGTATCCTCTTCGTGAATCGTGTAACTTGATCTTTATCTTTGTATTCCACATCGAATGGCCAGCCCCCAACTACATGGTTCATTCCCGTAGTACTCGTCTCATGCTGCTCTGTATTCACCTGAATGCATTACAAATAAAGGGTTTGGTGACATTAGTTTTATTTCTAGCATTAATATTGTTCGATTATTTACTTAAATTTAGTAGAAGTATTTTTAGTAGAAATATTTCAAAATATAAACTTAAAAGATGCATCATTTCTCAATTTATATTCTTCAAACTAATAAACTCTTTGAAATATCTATTTAAAAATAATATATTCATTATTATACTCTAAAATTTTCGTTAGTCCGAATTCACTAAAATTTTTTAATTACTTTCATAAACTTTTTAAAATTATTATCAAACTACCATATTATTTAACCAAAACAAGCTAAAAAATACATTTTTATTTTTACAGGCATTAAAGTATTTAATACATATTATTTAATGATATTTCGAAATAATAATTAAATTGCGCTTCGGGATTAAATGGAAAAAGCTTTTTAGAACTACTGAAAAAGCAAACAATATGCTTAAAAATAACTGTTATTTTTTAATACTTCCGATAGTATGAATTATACCATTGCACAAACAAATTATAAAAATAATTACGTGAAAAATAAAAATTTTAAAAGTTTTACCTCGTGATAAGACATATCTTTTGAGCAATGAGATTCTTTCGCTACAGTCGGAACTTGAACAAATTGTTTCTTTAATTCCGGATCTGGATCTATGTCAACAATTAAATGCGGCCCCACATCTGAAAAACAACATGGACTTCCGAAAAATCTCCTTTGCTGTACATGCGAATAAATAATTTCCATTTTCTGAAAACGTCTCTAAGAATAACCTCTACCGTTACTAATAACTTTCCATATGGAAGAAGTATAAGTATTGTTCTATATATAGCATTATTGTAAAGAGCTGTTTAAATAATTTAAGAATGACTTAATAAGCTATATTATTCGCTGTAAAAAAGTAATGTGATTGCAAATCATTAATCCCGAAGACATAGCTGCAGTATAAGGTTTTGAAGTATTGCTTTGGATAAAGAGGCACGTTGTCATGGAAACGCGATATTTCCACTATGACTTAATTGTCATGCAATACATTCGATGTTTTGACAAAAGGAATTCATGGCGGAAAAGAAAAGAATTTATAAGTTCCATTTTAATTCTTAGAAAAGTCTTACTGTAATTTTAATTTCATTATAGAACGTGAATATAGTGTCACACAAATTCATAAATATAACATTTTAAAGTTTTTGGAAATATATTTTTAAAATGATGTAAAAACTCCTTTAAATATTTTGTTTAATTATTTACTTAATAATTTTACAATACATTGATATAAATAATCAAATTATCACAAACCCAAAAATGTTTCTTATCATTTGTCGACAGTTAAAATATTTAGCAAACAAAATATATTAGATAATATTAAATATGATTGATAAAAACAGGTCAATTATACATTTTTGTACACTATACTAGCTGTACACCGTTCTTCCTATGGTGGACAAGAAATGGTGAACTACGGCACTAGCAAATCACACACAAAATTAAAATGCATTTACTGAAAAAATTAGTAGAACTAGCATAATTCTAATTTTGCTTTCAAATATTATTATTGGTTGCACTTCCCCATGATTTTAAGTTATTGGATTAAGAAAAAGAAGTCTTTAAAAATTTATTCACTCAAAATAAATAATAACTATATTATTCAATATCATTTGTCATGCTCGAAGGAAACTCATAAATGTCAAAATTCACCATGCGAAGCAAATAATTTTCTCCGAAACGGGAGCTGTGAGAGGCCGTAGCATGAGTACTTTACCATAGTATGAGTACTTTACCATAGTATGAGTACTTTATAGGAACCTTCTAAAAAAGCCGAATTTTTAATATTTCACTTATCAAGAACTTCCTTTATCTATTGCGGATCATTTGATCAAAAATTATTCAGGTCTTATTCATAATTGAAAAAATTCGGCACTGTTCAGATTTCATGTTTGAAAGGTGAAAATAAAACCTATTTCTTCCAAAATATGAGTGCGTTAACTAGGTGAGAATTATTGTGACTCACAATTGAAATAATTTTTACCAATTGTTCGAAATTCGGTTTGAGAGGTACTGTTACGATGAAAATTTAATTTACTACCGTCTTCATTCTTTAGATTTGAATTTAGTGCTATGGGATTACGAGAGATGATTCGCCAGACATGTATTTAAGAACATCAACAGTCTGAAAATCAAAAAATGGTTTCTCATCTTCTTCTTGGTCACCGTCAGAGTCCTGTAAATAGGAATCAAAATCCGACGCAAAGTCATCCATGATTTCTTGCACGTTGATAGGTCTTTCATAAACGTTGGTGATTGCAGACTGGCGTGTGACACGCGTGTAATCAGCTGACTTCGACAGAGTTATGTTATCATTTTCGGTTTCTTCACTTTGACGTAGCAATTGTTCTTTTGTCATGTTTTCCAACAGCTTTTCTCTTTTGTATTCCCTCTCAATCATCTGAAATCAAATTTGAATTATTTTTTGTCAGTTATCATCAATTGAGAAACGTATCAAGTATATTTGCCGAGACATTTTTTGATCAGTGGGAAAAGGACGTAGGGGTGCTACAGTCATTCGAGTTTGAATAGATCAGCACAGCAACTTTACCTGTTAAGTTTTACCCAAAAAGCATTAAACATTTTGTGCTGAATTGCTTTATGGTTAATACATTGTTTTAAATATATCGACTGCTTGATATGTTATTCAAATATGTCATTAAAGTTAATTATTCAGTTGAGTAAATGTTTTGCATATTATTTAAATCCATTAAGTACTTTGCATCTTTCTTAAAACATGTTACCCTCAAAGACTACAAACGGCTCAAAAGATTTGCTGAATGACGTTTTATTAAGTATATGTTTTTCCCCACAAATAAAACAGTTAAGGAGAAACATAAGCACTAAAGACACTTGCTGAGAAGCGTTTTAGCAAGTACTTGTTTAACATACAAAATCCACAAAGGATTTGCAAAGAAACATTTTGGCAAGTATATTTTTCGAACATACTGGATACTCAACATGTTCTTTCAAACATATCAGACCTATAAGCGATTTTTCTTAGTAAGTTTCATGCGAGCTAGTTGTTATAAAGATGGATGCATTTCTATTTTGCACACTATTTAACTCACAAGTAGATCGTTCCATATACAGAACGATAAGCCTGAAATATTAACATATTTTCAAAATATATAGCAATCATTGTATTTGAAATAAGAATTAAGTTCCCAATGATTAAAAGTATATTCATTATTTGAAACCACCCAGTTACGTTTTATTGAAAACTATCAATTACTCATATGTACTTTGCATAATTGGTTACGTTTCGATCTTTGATATGATTTTTTTTCCTTTTTGAAAAAATGTAATAGATTTCGCAAAATGTAAAAAAAAATCCATAAATAACAAAACATCTCCGTATAAAAATTTTTATTACATATGCTCAAACAACTTACACATATATACAAGGACTAAATAGACTTATACGTATACTACGTAAACCAGGTTATACTTACAGAAGAAAGAAGATTTTTCTCTGGTTTGCTAGGAAAAGTAGAGTACTCGGGTACTTCTAGTAGATGAATGCAGCCTTTTGGGGTACCGCATGCTATTTGGTTACTGTTTTGCTTATACTGTAGGCTTGATAAACCTTCAGTTGCTACCTATTTAAAAGGCGTGTGTTACAACGAACCATAACATTTAATGAATTTATATATTTAATTTCTTACCTTAAAAGAGATTAAAGGACTTTGGCGAGCAAGTAAGATATCCCAGAGCTCGATATGTCCCGTAGTTTTCGTCATGAGGAGAAGTGAAGAGCGAGAATTACTCCATGCTGCATCTGTTACGTATCCCGTTTGCGGTCTGAAAAAGCAAACGAAAACTTATGCAAGTATACAATAAAAAATAAGATAAGTGAAGAGCGAGAATTACTCCATGCTGTATCTGTTAAGCATCCCGTTTGCGGTCTGAAAAAGCAAACGAAAACTTATGCAAGTATACAATAAAAAATAAGATAAGTGAAGAGCGAGAATTACTCCATGCTGCATCTGTTACGTATCCCGTTTGTGGTCTGAAAAAGCAAACGAAAACTTATGCAAGTATACAATTAAAAAAATCACAATATTTAAAAATTTTTAAAAATAATAATATTTTGATTTCATTTGCGAAAAACGAAGTTTAAGGGCAGCAGGTTACAAAAATATTCATAACTTACTGACCATTAAAGAGGCCCAAGCTACTGCGTCCCTGAATTGTTAAAGGTTTCATTCTAAAACTAGGGTGAAATAACCGACAGCTGTCTGTACCACCAATTAATCGTAAAGTTTATGGTAAAGAAAATTTTTTGCCATTACGGTTTTGAAACCATTTACAACTGGTATGGTTAAAAAACCATGAATACAAAATTATAAGGTTTTTTAATCATTTACAACTAGTAAGGTTTCTAATCCGTAAAAATGTAATGGGCGTTGGAGTTAGATTGAGTTGTGTTTTTGGAAATAAAGCATGTAATGTGGTTTAATTAGGTTATCTGGTTGCTTCAACTATTGGAAGAGACTGGGAACGCTAGACTTTTTGGTGTTAATCAGCTTCATGGTGCTGCCATCTACGCATGAATTAGAGTATCGTATTCTAAGAGTTCAGAGGCGCGAATTAGGAAGTGAAAGATACTTGGAATTCTTTATTTGTTGAAAGAAAGGGAGAAAATATTATATAATGTATAACCCTCTCCCGTTGATTATGTGATTGAGTGGGTGTAGTTGGTGCGATAAAATTCTGATTGTTTAACCGTATTAGGTAATAGCAGTCAATAAAAGATTTTTTTTTTACACCATCTTATTTATGGTTATTAACCATTTTTCCTGGTAATTTTTAACAATGTATAGGAAAGTGGCAAATGATACATCCTTTTCATGAGAATCAAATAAATCCGAAGAAAACGTGTAAAGGTTTAAAAAATATTGCAGAGTAGTGTAATAATCATAAGCAATCTAGAAAAATCTTTCAAAGAATTTAACTTTTCATTGTATACTTACACCAGATTTAGGATTGGAGAGCTTGTTATATCCTCAGCCCATACCTATGAGGAAAAAACTTTTTTTTAAAATTATTCATTTAATTAAAGGTAATTATTTTTTTTAAATGACTTTTTATCTATGCGCTTTGCTAGGGTTTGATTTAAGTAATATTGCTTTTTAGTCAAAACTACCTGATTGAAGCAGTTTTCAAGTTGAAAGGCGAAAAAAATGAAATTTTTAAAAAAAATATAAACATAAATTGAATCTCCAATCATTCTCACTATTTTTACAATACGGTACCGTTATATTTTTTCGATCATTTCAATTATATTTCAATTTTTTTAAAAATAAAAAAAAATCATACTTATTCAGTTTAAACTTTATTTTGACCACTTTGATCATCATTTCTTAACTAATTGATCGTAGTCATTTCTAGCAAACTAAGCTAATTCCCCCATTTTTTTTTTTTTTTTAAATTTTTCAGTCATTTCTTTTATTCTTATATTTAACAGCTGCTCGCTTTTTTTGGAATTCTCAAACAGATCGTCAGTAAGCTTTTTACTCTGAACACAACTCAATCGTGTTTAAGAAAATGGACACAACTAAAAGAGCGTGATGGATACAACTAAAAATGCGTGTTTAAGAAAATGGACACAACTAAAAATGCGTGCTTAAGAAAATAAGTACAGCATTTGATTTCGTTTCTGAGGCTTCTCTTGTAAGAATCCTTTCTTTTTTTTAAAAAAAAAGAATGAACTAATAGGTTCAAATAAATTTGCTATGCGAGGTCATCCATCTGCGTTAATCACTTAGCATTTTTTTTTTTAAATTTAAATCTTTTTTGAAAAAACTTTATAAGTTGAACATATGCTTATATAAATATAGTTATGGATCCTATAAATTTATAATACTGGTAGTAAATTTACGTTGTACTAATTTAGATTTTTAAAAACCACTTCATCTTTTAGTATTCTGGATATGAAGAGGTCACGTGAAAAGTTACGCCTGTAGCATACCCAGTCCTCCGACCCCGAAGTCCTAGATTTTTCTCCGTAATAAATATGCTTACTGTTTAAAACAATAAGGAAAAGTAAGTACGAGATTCGTTTAGTTATTAGATTTGGATTGATCATTAAAAACGCGCCTTTTTTGCTGTGTCCATTTTTTTAAACACGCTTTTTGAACTGTGTTCAGAATAATAATACGAGCTAATCTTTTACATCAGTTTCTTATCCCTGATAATCGTGGAAATTAACATGAAGTTATTCTGTTAAATATTTGTGTTTGCCTGATATTCTCAGTTTTAAGGAGCTTTAAAGACCACAGAAGTTATAAAATATTAGAAAAAGAAGTTATGAATAGTTATAAAAGAAAAGAAGTTATAGATAAGTACTGTTAAAAAGGTGGTTAAAACTATGTGGTTAAAACTATTGAATATAAGTTTCAATAATTTAAGGATAATAAGGATAAAAAGTTTTATTTTTTTAATAGGGAATATATTCTAAGTAATACCTACGATTCTAAAAAATTTTAATGCATCTCACATTAATCAATTCATAATATATGGGTGATAATTATATGGGATATAACAGATATTTCATAAATTCAATGTGCTTCTAACTGGTTAGACCACAAATTCATTGATGGGCAATTTATGTATGTCACCGGTAAATTTTGTTCTGTACAGAATTATTAAAAATGCCCGGCAATGTATGAAATAATTAAACGCCCAGTCATTGTATACAATGCCAAATGGCTAGCTTGCAAAGAATGAAATATGATTGTCTCATTTTTTTCGTTAATATGATTTATTTGCGTTAGTCTATTAGTTGAAAGTAATTTCTTGGGACAAAAAGTAAGATCAATTTAACATTTTGTTTTCTGCAATGAGAAAGTCAAAAAATATTTGAAACTCTCCATGCGTTATTAATAGTAACCTGATTAATCGGAACAATAATCCGGCGGGGGTACGTTACAAGGTATTCTTCACACTAATGTTGTTGTTTTTTTAAGTTAAGCAATAGTGTGCCCAATATTTCCTACCATTGCCCGGTATTCCTTACACTGGTGTCTTTCATAATCGAATGTTATTGATAATAACCAAATCAGCTGATTAAAGTAAAATTTGTGTTGCATTATAATAATATTTTTTTCATCAAATCAATCAATCTCTAAAGATTGATTGATTTGATGAAAAAAATATTATTTACCTTTGATCATCCACTCAGTAATATTTTTCGTTAAAAATAAAGAAAAGAAACAAAAGAAAGATAAGGCAAAGAAAATAAATTGCTGTTTCTTCTAGAGAAATTTATTTACACCAAAGCATAGTATACAATCCATAGTATACTGAATCTGTCCCTGTATACAATGCGTAAGTAAAGTATAGAATAATTTTCATAATTTTTTCCAAAAACAACAGACATTGTATACAATGCTAAACAATGTATACAATGTAATACATTGTCTACATTATAATACATACGTTGTATACAATGCTGACAACAAGTACAAAACGTATTTAAAAAATAAATATACCTTGCCAAACAGGTCAAATTTACAAAAATAACAGGTTTCATAAATCAGTATATATAAAGTGCCCAGATTAATGGAGCACAAACACAAAATCAATAGTTATTTCTAAAATAGCTGTGAAAGTATGAAACAGAATATTTAAACACTTACTTTAACACCCCACGTGCCGCAGGACGTGAACACTTTTGGAAGAAAGGAATTTCGCTGAATCTTCAAGACAGGTCCATTAGAGTATTTGGCTGAGTATGAGGCTGCAATCATTTCCTTTGGTTGTGTGTATTTTCGATTGCACGAAAGTATTTTACCTCTGATGGTACCCATCATGAAACGGTGAGGCTAAATATAATCAAATGCGTTGTTTTAAACAACTAATTTCATTTTTTATAAGAAACGGATTTACCATCAACTGAGATTACTCTACTGCTTCCGGTAGTTACTTTGGTCTAACACAAAAATTGTCAACTTTTGTACTGAACAAACACAATTATGGGTATTTTTTAGGCTTGAAAATAAGTTTGTTTTCCATTTGAGAATGTTTTAGTAGTTTTGGATAATTTTAATTCCTTGCTTTCGGCAACACTAAAGTTTTTGCAAATAATTGTTTTGATAAGCAAATTGTTTACCTCCAAACTTCCATTAAGGACGAATCCAGTAACATGATAGTTATACACCGAAGAGCCATTACATTATGACCACCCTTCTAATGACATGTAGGAGCACTTTTAGCCCACAAAACTGCTAGCACCCGCCGTGGCACTGATTCCACAAGGTGCTGATAGGTAGTCTGAGGTATCTGGTACCAATCGCTCACCAACTGGTCCTGTAATTCCCTCACATTGCGAGGGGGTANGGTACAGTCAGTACCGTCTTTACGCATGGGCACACCCGGGCAGTGCCCAGGGGCCCCAGGCACTCAGGGGGCCCTTGAGAATCTTACTTTTTATAAATTGTATTTAAAAAATCTAAGACTAAACAAAATTATCTTATATATTTTCTTAAATAAATTTATTATATTGTATAAAGTGTGTATTTTGTTTTTCTTTCTACAAATAATGATTGATTATCTTGCAAACAACAATAATTTGAATAGTTTATCACCAGGGAAACTTAAAAAGGCAACCGAAATCTATTTTTCTAGTTCCAATGAAAGTTTTATGCGAATTCAGTTTTTTGGGGTCTACTGAAAACAAATTTAAATCAAAATGTATTTAAATTTGTTCAAATTATTGCATATGTTAAAAATGCTTTATTTTATGTATGTGAAGTTTTTTAGTTCGATTTCAAGCAGTATGACATAAGGGCCCAAAACATTTCTTTGCCCGGAAGCCCTGCATGCTATTAAGACGGCCCTGGATACCACTTCTGGAGAACGCACTAGGTCTGCTCACCGGGAAGACTGATTGTGCAGTTCATAGGAAATAAAATAAATAAAAAAAATTTATCCTTTTTAAGCCAATGAAATGAGGATTCTACAATGTTTCTGAGATTGCAAATTAATGCACTGGAACAAATATTTAAGCATTCTAATTGCATAAAATTAAAAAAACTTCTCTCATATTTTCTAATCGAAATATTTTTTTTTACGCTTAAGCTTATATTTGTTTTTATGCCACCTCAGGCGACCAGCTGGTCCGCATTTTTAGATAAGTAGAATTTCAATTATTTTATCTATTAATCACACAGTCAGAAATCATGACAATCTATAAATATGAATTCATTTGTGCAATTCTGACTTCATTCACGTGGCACATAGCTTTCGTTAGAATACTTTACCTTTTTATCGGTAATTTAATTATCAATGAAGTAATTCCTGAAGCCTTCAAATAAAACTGTAAATTCTGAAGTAAGTCTGAAGGTTTTTGACCTATCTTTTAAACTTATATTTTGCTTGATTCATTCTGAAGATTTTCTGCAATATTTTTCTGCAAAATAAAATCTGAAGATAATTAATAATCTGTAAAAAAGCAAAAGGTTTTACATGTGAGACATACTTTCAGATATTTTTTCAGAATTTTTTAAATAACATTTACTGATTATTTTTTGTATCGATATATTCTATTTTCAAAAAATATTTCGAGATAGAATAAAGTTTACACAACAATTTTCTTAATTTTAAACACTGATGCAGACGTAAAAAAAAAGCTTACCAAGCAGGTGTTGTATTCGAGACATGTTATTCTATCGGACGATGAGCAATCGTTTAAACCTTCATTTAAGTCAACAACTAAACTTGGATAATCCATGTTTCTAATATCCCAGCAAATTATCTAAAGAAGAAAAAAAAATATGTACGAATTAAAAGCTCCAAATCAGCCATTAGTGATAAAAATTTTATATTCATTTACTTCATTCATACAAAAAAATTTAATGATTCCATTAAAAAAAAAAAAATTTAAAATCTTACGTAATTATACACTTTAATTTGATCGTAAGTTACTTATCATTTGTGGTAAAATTAAAGGACTAATTAAGTATTCCCTGCTAATACGTCCACCATTCAAACCACAGAAAAATTACGTAAAAAGAAGAAGATGAAAAAGCGTTCAACTTCTTTTAAGTGTTTTTTTTTAAACATAACTTTTAAACCTTTTAACGCCTACGAGAGGAAATACCCTATGTATATGTTTTGTGACTGTCCATTTGAATATAATAAGATATTTAATATAAGTTAATAATTATTAATTCTGAAACATTTTTTAGAAACAATTCAAATGATTTGTAACTATATGGTTTGGTAACATAATTGTAACTAATATTACACCATAATAACATAATTTCATTCGTTTTTTTTTTATTCCTGACAAACATAATTTTTTCAACGTGCAATTACGTAAAGCTACAAAATAATGCGTACAAATGAGTCTGAATATTTTTTCAAACTTCTAACGATCATTATATATGTATATTTATTTAAAGAGCCTGTTTTTCATAAGAAAACAAAATATTTGACAAGCAGTAACTTAAAATTATTCACATAATCATCACCTCCAACAGAGAGAAACTTGCTGTTTATTTAAGCTTAAAATTGCTGATCTAGTTCAACCTTGCCTCAGCATATTACCTATAACTGCCTTTAAATTTTATATATTTTTAAAAGAGGAATGCTATTACTTTATAATGATTGTACATATTTTACAGGTATCTTATCATTTTTTTATTAGAATTTTTTTAAATTACAAGAGCAAAAGAAAGAAAAAATGAAGATCTAATTTCAAAATTTTTTTATTTAAAGCAATTGTGAGGAAGCGATTTTTAGTACCTTACTTGATTTCAGATCTTGATAGTTTTTTTTTCTTCTTTTTTTTTAATTTTACATAACGCCCGAAATTTTATGGAGTCCTATTTTCGAAACTTCTTTTTACTTCTTTGCATAACTATGAGTGTAGTAGTTGTCATTTTACTCATTAATTTGTAATTTACATAAAATATATCATTGTTTGTTCAAGTATAATATTAACACAAACTATTTTATTTATTTATTTATTTGAAATACCCCATTAAAAACAAAACGATCACAAAATACCAAATAGTTATTATTGAAATGTGAAATACAATTCAATTTATTGTATCACATAAGAAAATTATCTGTTTTGATCTCGATATTTAAGGAACTAAAAGCGTTTCGTTTAAATAGATAACTTAATAATCTTACACAAGATGGCGCTATAACCATTTTAAGTAAGAATGAGTTCATCAAAATTTCTTTAATATCTTAATATTTTATAACTGGAAGTACAAATCTTAACCCAATCTAATACTTAAATTTTAGCTGATAAGCCTAATAAGGTACCGCAATAATTTTTCTATAAATATAACGTAGAAATTTAAAACTATCAAATCAGGTGCACTAACTCCTTAGTTTTCCTTTCTACTAATGGATTTAAAATCAAATATAATCAAATCAAAAATAAATCAAATATAAATAAATCAAATATAAATTATTATAAATTTTATTCCTTACACAATTAATCATATATCCAAAGCAAATTATGGACTTTAATAATTTAATTAAAATTTTAAAAAATTATATAAGTACTTTTTAATAAATATTTGCTTATCCTATATAATATTTAATGGTATTAATTCTTAACGTTACATTATTTAACGATATTTACCAATAATATTTATTTATAAGTCTTTCTTATTATTAATTCATGTTTTCCGTTCTGATTATTAGTTAATAATAAACAAGTAAAATAAAAAAATAAATATAATTAAAGTGAATTCCTGCTTACGTCTACAAAAAATTTTTATTTTAGTTACATTTTATTAAATAATTAGTTTTTTTTCTGCCATATAAAACTAAAAGTAATTAATTAATTTACTTAATTAAATTTAATAACTAATATTTGAAAAAACTATATTAACATCAAGTATCTTCCACTACAAGTTTAAAAAAATATATTTTAACTCGAGTGAATGAATAAACAGATCTTATTATCATAACAGATCTTATCTTAACAGATCTTAACGATCAAAAATTTAAAGAAGATCTATAAAAATATATAGCGAGATGAAAAAACTAATAGTAGGAATTGAAAAAAAAAAGGCGAGTGGTATCAGATATCTATAAAAGTATAAATTTTGTGACGTGAACCACACGTGCTACCACGTAATGTTCTTCTCTGAATTTATCTGACACAGCGAGTATAAAATAATCTATATTATATAAAACACTAATACGTACGTATGTATGTATGTATCAATAATACCGATGATATTTCTTTTCTCGCGCTGGCAACAGTTTTCATTTTTAATTGATTGGATTCGGCGCGCAAGAGCACGTAGTGAGCAACCAGATAACAATAACCAGAGTGAGCATTATCAGGTTGTTCAATTCAGATTCATGCACTAAAAACATGACAATATTTAATTTAAACTCAATTAGGAATTAATTAATTAATTGAAGTGAGAATGCTTTAAAAGGCCGCTGTTGAATTGATATTTTTCTACTGGGAGCTACCTAAACGTCTAAAAAACGTTTAAGTGTTTGTATTGAATGCATTGAATTTTTTTATATTTCGCGTTTATTTATGCATTGAATTTTCACGCTTTAAAATGCAGAATATTAGTGAAGCAATATTTGATAATTTATTTTGCTAATATGTTTCTTATTTAGCTAATGTTTTGATTTTTTCACCATGTACAATCTAAATAGCTAATATACTTTTTTAAAAGCCAATAAGAACATTGGTAGAATTCTTCTACATAAGTACAATACTATGTCTTTGATGATAAAATACTATGTCTTTGATGATAATATATTATGTCTTTGTGCTAGAACATTGTGTTCATTGGCGAGCGAGCGCAGCGAGCCATGGTTCACGGCGTGAACCACATAGGATTGCGTAGCAATTCTCGGGGGTTGGCGAGCGCTAGCGAGCAGGGGGCGAAGCCTCCTAGTTTAATATTTAAATGTGCTCAATAAACTACTTTTTTGTTCAAATGGGCTATAAGTTAGAAATTATCGCTGATGTTATCTTTAAAATATGTAAAAAAAACTGAATCGCTTATAGTAAAATTTAAAGCAATGACTAACGCTTCACCAAGCAGAAAATTCCATTTCGTTTTTCGCTCATCCCTATTTAATTGATGAATTAATGTTTGAAAAAATTATATTAACTTCAAGTATCATTCACTACAAGTTTAAAAAATGTATTTAAACTTACGTGGACGAATAAAAAGTATTTTATTAACGATTGAAAATTTGTACAATATACTTGTATATAGGAACTAATAGTAGGAATTTAAAGAATAAAACTAAAAATGATATTGCTTTCATTTAATTTTAAAGTAATCGTATATTTTCTTTAATAGGTAAAATTTTATAATTCTCATATTTAATTACAGGTTTACAATTATTAAATGTTAAGTAAGTTAAGTTAAAAGTAAGTTAACTTACTTTTAACAATTTCCAATTAATTTCATAATAAAATTTATGTGAAATTGTGTAAGCTCCTTATATGTGTGTATAACTGAATCTCTAAAAGTACCTTTCCATCTGTTGAAGCTGAAAAAAACACAAGACCATTCTTGGAATAAATCCATTTAATATCTGTCACATCCTCCGCGTGACTTGTTGCTATGCTGGTAACGTAATAAGGTCTACCACCAATCCGCGAATCCCATAAACCTAATGAAAATAAAATTCGTCAAAGTTAGAAACCAAAAGTCAAAAACCAAAAACAAACAAAACGAGATGTTAAAAATATGTATGTTAGAAATGCTATAAATTTAAAAAAGAAGAAAAAAAACACTGATAAAAAATACACTGGCAACCTTAAAGAAATATCATTCCAGCATTTTATAGAATTGAAATGAAGCAAATAATTAAAGGATTAAAGAGAATGGTATAAATTTAATGCGAAGTAATGAAACGAAACAATGAACTTTGCACCTAAATAGCAGTTAGGCTTACTTACAACTAGAGAAAAGCGCTGTATCATGTATATATTTGTGAAATAATCTTGACAAAGATATTATTTTTTTTTTTAACTGAGCAAGTTCTGGAAGACAAGATAATAATTTCGCCATCTTTGAATGCCACTATTAAAAATCTGTAGACGAAGGGATAGCTTGGTTGGTAGGACACTGGACTCATGTTCGTGAGAACGGGAGAAAATTCCCGTGAATTAAATGGTGAATGGTGCACTCTAAATCTGTCAGAGACGCAAAGTTCCACATGTTCCCATAACAAATCAATACCTGCTGATACTAAATTGGAGATTGACCTTTCTTTGTTTCAGGTCAAAATTACGATCTATGGATGAATAGAGTATGATTGGTACCCCTGTAAAATGGGCTGTGTCGCGTATGTGGCTGAAGTTGCATTCTTGGCCAAAGATGGCGCCACTAAAAAACAAGAAACGCACCCTCTGTCTTAAAAATTCGTTTGACTTCAAGTAGGCTTGCTGGTATTAGCAAGTGGCTTAAGTATCAACAACAAAAGTCCGTTGGGTCGCACTACGACATGCGCGCTGCAAGCTAGCCAACCATGATATAAGATAAGAAAGATACAGTTACTTTTGTTTTACCTATTTGTCCCGTGCTGCAACCACCAGCTAAAAGCTCCAAATCACTGGGTGAATATTCAACAACTCTCAAGGATGTATCAGAATTAATAGTGCAGTATGGCACGTTGCAGTTATCTAGAAAAGAAACACATTTACACTTGATTGAAGCCATTTCATTTCAATAGACATTATTGATTATCCTGAAACTGAATAGTGCACTCACCAATATCCCATATGAAGCAATCGGAATAAAATTTCCGGCAATCCACAACTTCATCCACTGCATAGGCTCCAGCAACCTTGGATCCATCCAGTGACCAAGAGATATCTGTTACCTTACGAGGTTTTTCACAGGTATCTCTAATAGAAATCAGGGATATAGTTGTCATAAAATAATTTCTGTCTCTTATACTTTGGCAAAGTAATTTAATCCTTTGCATACACATTCCCTAATCATAGCCAAGAACCTAGCCCGGTTTTCCGACTTCTATANATATATCTCACGATTAACACGAAATAACATAACTAAATATCACCTTGTGAAGAACACTACAAGAAATACCAGCCTAACTAGTGATTTTATATTGTATGTGTCGATTATCAGTAACCTAGTAATTTTGAACCCAACCCAAAAGACAAGGAAATTCCTTGATCGTCAAACATTGGAACAAACCGTGGAGGACTTGTTGATGATACTTAGCAGCGTTTGCTTTACATAGACAGGAAAACCACAAAACCCTTAGCACAACTGCAATCGACTGTAAATCGACGACAGAGCAGCTGGGAACAGAATTCTTATCAACCAATGCCGGTTGTTTAGCAGATTGCCAGGATTGAACTCACGACGTCGCTCATATGCTTCAAAGTAACCTCATTCAGCAATTCTTTTGGTTTGTTTTGGTAATGAATTATTCACCATACTCTTCTTTTGAAGTCATTTTGTTACAGAAACAGGAATATTTGCCTAAGGAACAAGTATTAAAATGGTGAAAACATTCAAAACGTCAAAAGTGAAGAACATTCAGAATGAGGACTTAAAAAGATATTTCTGAAAGTTTTACAGCGGATTGCAGAAATGCATTAAACCAAGCGAAGGTTTACTTAAAACATACTAAATGCGTATGTAATTCACCTTATATTTTCAGGAATTATTAGATTAAATCTGAAAATTAATAGCCACATTTTGCGTTATTCCTAGAACTTCCGCTTTATATATCATCTATATCCGCCAGCACTCACAAATAAATTATTTTGTTCAAACTCTACTGAAATAAATATTGTTGCTGTGGAATAATGTTCGGAAATAAATATTTCATTTAAATCTCTTACAAGATGCATAATTTGTTGTTTGCATACATTGCATTTAGTTAAAGGAAGTAAAAATAATGACATTCTTTGATCCATAGCATATCGCGATGAAATAATCAAACAACTGTATAATGAAGAAAAAAAAGGTTGTTCCTTTGAAAAAAGGCTAATTAAAATTAATTTAGTAAGACCGCATTTATAAAATGTTACCTGTTGTTTTTGAATTTGCTCATAACTTCTTATACTAAGTATCATTATTTTCTTTGTTTTTTTCGTTTTAATTTTTTCACTTTTTCATCCGTTTTATTCGTAGTAAAATTATTAATACCCTTAACTTTTCTTTTTAAGAACTCATAATTTTTTATAATATATTTACCAGTATAAGTTTTCCTTATTATAATTATCTTAACAATTTTTGAACAAAAAAAAATAATGAATACCTGAACACACTCAATATTTTGAAGTGAACAATGTATTTACTTGTATTGTTTTCATTATTATTACTATCTTAACAATTTTTTAACAAAAAAAAAAATAATGAATACCTGAACACACTCAATGTTTTGAAGTGAACAATATATTTACCTGTATAAGTTTTCATTATTATAATTATCTTAACAATATTTTAACAAAAAAAAAATAATGACTACCTGAACACACTCAATGTTTTGAAGTGAGCTTCTTCGTGATGAGTAATAACATCTCCTTCAAAATAATCTTCATAAATATTCAACGAATTATTTTCTTTAATAAACATTTCTACCAACTGTAAAAGTAAGATTAAAATTTTAACTAACAACTGCATCAAAATAAATATTGCTAAAAGTATTCGGCTCGTAAATAGTTTCAACTATCGTAGAAACATCTAATACCATTCAAACATTTTCTTAAAACCATTTTTAAAAGAACGTTCTCTTTTCCTTTATATTTTAAATTTCACGACATATTTAAAAAAACACTGATTGCTTCTGTTTAACAACATGCCTTTTAAATTTCAGTATAAAATTTCTTTTTGAACAGAAAAATGCTTTTTAGTCCTGTATTACATGTATTTTATCACGAAAAGTTAGATGAATCAATACAATTCAGAATATTAGTATTCTCTGTTAATTTTTTTTGCTTAAAATAAAATCGCCCTCTCTCTTAATATACTTTTTGCTTTTCAAAAAATCAAGACACATTTATTTAATATTATTAACAAATGCACAATGTGGCAATCAAAAACAATTAGCTATTCAAGCGATACATTATTCAAAGATTAAGTTTTTTGATTTTTGAATATCATTTATTTTGAATATATTTTCAATATTTCCGATTTTTAAATATAGTTATTTAGAGTCTGAATTATCTCATCTGAAAATCTCAAATTAGAAAAAAATGAGAATTGAAAAATTGAAAGTTGCATATTGAAAAATTATTAAAAAAAATTTTATTTAAAGAAAATTTTATGCAAAAAAAACAACTTTTACTGCGTAGTTATTATTTATTATNTGTTTTCTTCATTGTTAAATTATTAATACCCTTAACTGTTTTTTTTTTAAGTACTCATAATTTTTTTATAATATATTTACTTGTATAGTTTTTAATCATTATTATCTTACAATTTTTGAACAAAAAAAAATAATGAATACCTGAACACACTCAATGTTTTGAAGTGAGCTTCTTCGTGATGAGTAATAACATCTCCTTCAAAATAATCTTCATAAATATTCAATGAATTATTTTCTTTAATAAACATTTCTACCAACTGTAAAAGTAAGATTAAAAATTTTAGATAAAAACTGCATCAAAATAAATATTGTTAAAAGTATTCTGCTCGTAAATGGTTTCAACTATCGTAGAAACATTCTATAATAACATTCAAACATTTCTTAAAACCATTTTTAAAAGGAACGTCCTCTTTTCCCTTGTATTTTAAATTTAAAAACAAAAAAAGGCTTATTGCTTCTGTTTAACAACATGCATTTTAAATTTTAACATAAAATTTCTTTTTAAACAGAAAAATGCTTTTTAGTCCAGTACTATATGTATTTTAGCATGAAAAGCTAGCTGAATCAATACAATTCAAAATATTAGTTTTATCTGTGTTTTTTTTCCTCGCTTAAAATAAAATCACGCTCTCTCTTCATATACTTTTTGCTTTTTTTAAAAAAAAAAAACACATTCATTTAATATTATTAACAAATACACAATGTCACAATCAAAGACAACTAACTATTCAAGCGATCTATAATTCAAAAATTAAGTTTTCTGATTTTTGAATATCATTTATTTTGAATATCACTTATTTTCAATGTTTCCGATTTTTGAATATAATTATTTGGAATCTGAATAATCTCATCTGAAAATCTCAAATTTAAAAAAAATTGAGAATTTAAAAATCGAAAATTGCACATTGTAAAATTATAAAAAAATTTTGTTTAAAGAACATTTTACTAAAAAAAATAACTTTTAGAGAATAGTTATTGTTTATTATTATTTCATTTAATATTAGTCTAAAAGTTTTTGAAATGTAAGGTATACAATTTTTTACACCATTTAAAAGAATGTAATTTTACATGGCAAAATAAAAATTTGAACAAAAAAGGTCGACAAAAGGCCTGAGAAATCAAATTTCCAAAAAGTCTAATATTTAAACTTCGATGTCACAGTAACTATTCGACCGATTTCACTCAAACTTTGTATTTGATCATGTGAAAGTACATTCTTTAAAATGATCTAAAAATTGTATACTTTACAATTCAAAATTTTTCGACTATTATTAAATAAAATAATAAAAAATAATAACTATTTACTGAAAGTTATTTTTTGCATGGAATTATCTTTGAATAAACAAATTTTATAATTGTAAACAAAAATGTTTCAATTTGCTTAAAAGGTTTCAGAGATATGACGAAACGCCGGAAAAGTAAAATTAATTCCCTCTTTTTTCCTGATTAGCGCACATACCACTTCAGTACACATATGCCTGATTTATTGTCTTTGCTTTTAACTCACTGAGAAGGCAATGAAGCGTACAAAAATATATATATGTAGTTTCAACAAATTATTATCTACCGAAGAAAAATATAAAACTAATCTCACATCAGCCATATTTTTGATGGAATTTATAAAATCTTCTTCCTTGTATATTTTCTTTTTGTACCTCCATACTTGATCTTCATATCTGGGATCTACTTCAATAGGCCAACCACCCATCTTGTGATCCATGCCGGTAGACCATGTAGACTTCGAGGTCGTATTCACCTGCAAACATATCATTCTATCTTTACCAATTTCTCTCGCCACTAAAATGCATCATTGATTAACCCCTTAACGATCGGTTAATTTTCAAGAAAACGGTCATAAAAGTGTCTATTTTTTTATTAGTGCTATTTGATTAGTGCTGACATCTAGTTTAAAATAAACTAACTATCTACAATTGCTTTAAAAATATCCTGGTACTGCTTTCTGGTGTGTAAAATGAGAAATAAAATGTTTTCCAGGTAAAAGAAATGAATTAGTTTTATTCTTATTGGCGCGTTACTACTGAGCACTCCAGCCTGGAAATATAATGGGAGCGAGAAATAGAGGGCAAAACCCCATCCCGTCATTTTCACGGGAGCGAGAAGGAAAGGGTTAAATATACTGTTGTTGTTTGACTGGGATAAGTTCCCTGTACTGTGCAGGGAAAAAATAAATTTTAATAATAATAATAAAAGAAATAATAATAATATAAATAATAATAAAGAAATAGTAATAGAAATAATAATAAAAGAAATAGTAATGAATGTATTGTGAGAAGAAGAACATGTGTGACTAAAAAAAAATGAATTATTTTTTTTTTTTTA